TTACCTTATTTGATATAACAATTCTATAGTATTATTAAATTAGATATAATTACTCTCAGATGAGGGAACCAAGTACAAAGAGGTAGACAGCAATGAGGAATTAATAGGAAAAGTACTCCCCAAAACAAAAAAACAACAAACTGGACTGGCTCTTTTCTCTTGCTGGATGTGAGATCCCCCTTCCTACTTCTGAATGGGCTAATTTTATACCTAACAGTATGGCAATCACTATTAATTTGTTAACAGTCACAGCGAAATCACAAAATCCAGTCAGTATTTTCCCCACATTTTTGCCCATACTCATCAGGAAGACGGAGGTTGATTGTTGGGAGCTACAAGGCTATCACTAGAAAAGCCATATTAAATCACTGCATTGCAACCAGGGCTCTTCACAAAGTAAACGTTTACCTTTTTATGCCATTAAAATATACACACACACAGACACACACACACATTTGTTGCTGTCAAGCTCTGACTCATACTGACCCCATATGCCTCAGAGTAGAACTTCATCATGAGCTTTCTTGGCTGTAATCGCTCTGGAAACAGATTGGCAGGCCTTTCTTCTGTGGTGCTGTTCCTTTCCATTAGTAGTTGAATACAAACCATTTGCACCATCCAGGGCCTTATGTATTTTTGCCTTAGAGCTATACTCAGTTTTTATTTGCATAAAACTTCCCAGGTAGTCAACATCTCTTTTTTTCACTTTAAATAAAACTTTCCTTATACTGGTCTTGTATATAAAACAGTTATGTGAGTATCTGAAAAAGTGAGTCTCTTAAGAAGTATGTGAAAAGTAATTGATTTCTATCTTTGAAGAATGATCAGCAAATTGTGCATTGAACATACTCTTCACCTGTGAATTTAGAATACAGGTTACCTACTTTTGAAGTACAGTAGTGGAAAAGGCACAAGGTAGACATTTCCATTCCAAATGGGAGAGATTGAAGGGATCCCTGGCATCCAGCAAGAGAGAAGCCCAGCAGAGTGTTATATATGTTGGTTCTCAAGGCTTGACAGTAATCCTCTGTTCTCTGAAACAGTGTAGGCAGTGGGCTCCACTCTCTAGAATCTGAATGTTGGCTAACTTTTCTGGGCAGAGGTCCCTTGGCCCAGGACTTTTAGCTCTGCTATCCAGGCCCAACTGGATGACAACTCTGTTCTCATTGTTTTGGGGCCCTGTTCTAGTCTAACTGAAGGAAAACCACATCTCGTTACCTCTGAGAGGCCTCATTCTTCTGCCACATTCATTCAGTTTTGGGCAGAGGATCTGACCTCATCCCACACTCGGAATGTGTGATTCGAAGCCCCATACTCTCAAATTGAGCCTGTGAAGATCAGTCTCTTTAAACTCAGAAGGTGTTGGTTCCCTTGATCCCTTGGGCCTCTTCAGCTGGCCTGGCACCTGCCTAGAGGCACCCACTCCTCTATTAAGCCTTGGCCCAGAGGTCCTCAGCCTGTGTCATTTGGTGGGTTAGAAAGCCTACATCTGTGGACACATTATTGGAGGCATCCTACTCCAATGGGAAGGAAGCCTCCTGCCTGAGGGTACTTGGCTATCTTATTCTGTGGGTCAACTCTGAAGTGGGTCAACTTCTACAAGTCTGGTTCTGTTACTCCTGTTTTTTTCCCCCAGCTGTTGCTTGCCATGTGCACTGTCTCTGGATGCAACTTTCCTCACTTCCTTCTAAGCCCTTAAAAGAATCACTTTTGATGTACATAATTCCATCAATAGTTTCTCCAAGGCATTTGCCAAAAATGTCATAAAAGCCAGGGATGTTGCTAACTGTCCTACAATGCACCAGCAAGGCATTATCTGTCTAAATGTCAGTAGTACCAAGGTTGGAAGACCACAATCTAGAACTAATAGTAATGTATTCACCCCAGTGGACTATTGTGAAAATTAACTGAATTAAAGCATTTTAAGTGTCATCCATATATTAAGTACTTAATGTTATCAATAATTAATTTATAGCTAATGAAATAAAATTATATGAAGACACATACATGTACTACAAAGAACTCTTTAAGATGTAAAAATGTATGAAACTTTTGAATCAGAAGTCCTTTTTTAAGCACTGACTGGCTGTATTAATCTTCCTTTTATCTGTTATCAATAACAATTCTTAAAGTAGAGTGCTGAACTTAAAGTGTGTATGAGTTAATGTTAGTCTGAATTTAAGCTAATAGTTGAATTAAAAGACTGTCAATTACCAAATTAAGATAAGTAATGCTCTAAAAAACCCACAAAGATCCTTAGGAAATCAATTTCTTTTTTGTAATTTAAAAATGCTATTGTAAAATATGTACAACATACATTTTATCATTTTAACCACTTAAAATGGCAAATTCAGCATCAGTAATTATAATCAGTGTGGTGCACCTGTCACCACAATCTACTTCCATACTACTTCCCCACCACAAACAAACTTTGTACCTCTTAGTCAATAATTCCCCTTTCCACTCTTTGCACACCTTGGCAACCTTGGATATATCCTCTGGCATGCTTACATTCTTCATATAAGTGGGGTCATACAATATGTGTCCTTCTGTATCTTATTTATTTCACTAAACATGATATTTTCAAGAGTCCATCTATGTTGTATCATGAATCAAAACTCCACTTCCTTTTTGTAACCTCTAATAATCACATTGTGTGGATCACATCTTATTTTTCCATTCATCTGTTGATAGACACTTGGGCTGTCCCGCCCTTAGCTGTGGTAGATAATGTTGCAGTGACTCTTGGTGTACAAATATCTAGTTGAGTCCTTGCTCTCAATTCTTTCCTTGTTGGAGATGAAGACAATTTCTTGATTGGCTCTCATCTACATTTGTATATCTAAGAGTATGTGTCTATAAAGTTTTGACAATATGTGATTTTCTTTAACAAGTATTTTACAAATATAAACTTAGGAATTTAAATAAGTTTTATAGATTTCATCAAGTTTTATCAAATTAATCATACACACACAAAAGGGGGGTTACCCCCCCAAACTGGAAATTTTTCCAAAGCTATATATTTACATTTTTTAATAATTAAATCTTTTTATTGGGGGCTTGTACAACTCATCACAATCCACACTTACATCCATTGTGTCAAACACTTTTGTACATTTGTTTCCCTCATCATTCTCAAAACATTTGCTTTCTAGTTGAGCCCCTGGTATTTGCTCCTCATTTTTTATGTATTTACATTTTTTAACAAAACAACCTTATCACTTTTGAAGTACTCTCCATTACACATAATACATTTGTCAAATCTGAGATACCATTCTTGGAAACATTTTTCAAACTCATCTGTTTGGATTGCTGACAGCACCTCCCTCATTTTTTTCTGCAACTAGTCAAATTGCTGTCCTTTCTTGTTCCTCTTCATTCGCAGAAACAAACGAGTTGCACAGAGCAAGGTCAGGTGAGTCAGGTATGTTGGGCCAGAGAGGCATGCTGTTTTTGTTTTGTTTGTTTTTTTGCCAAAAACTGGCGCACTGAGATTGTTGCGTGAGCAGGTGAATTGTTGAGGTTGAGGTGGCAAAACCAGTCCCCCATCTGCCACAAATCAGGCCTTTTTTGTTGCACAGTGTTACACAATCTTTTCAGTATCTCTAAATAGAAAGCTTGATTAACATTCTGACCTGGTTGAATGGACCTCCAAATTCACTATCCCCCTCACATCAAAAAAGTAAATGAGCATCCGTTTATTTTGGGTATCCCCTCATATATATCCAACTCCATATATAATATGGGGTGTTTGCTTCCAAATCTACAATGTGGTTTCAGTTTTTAATCTGTATACATATGCATACTGAAAAGGAATCAACGGAAGCCATGCTGTTGGTAATTATTATAATAACTCCATGTACTTGAAGCCCTACTACATATGAGGGGGTACGCCCCCCCAAATTTGAACTTTTCCCCAAAGCTATGTATTTAATTTTTTTTACAAAAGAACCTTACCACCTTCAAATTACTCTCCTTTGCATTTAATACATTTGTCAAATCTGTGATTCCATCTTGGAAACATTTTTCAAACTCATCTGTTTGGATGGTTGACAGCACTTCCCTGTTTTTTTTTTTTCACCTTTTCTCCATCATCAAATCACTGTTCTTTTATGTCCCTCTGCATTCAATGAAACAAAAAAGTTGCTTGGAGTGAGGTCAGGTAAGGTGGGGGGGGCAAGAGAAGCATGCTGGTTTTGGCCAACAACTGGCGCACTGAGATGGCTGTGTGAGCAGATGCACTCTGGTGGCAAAACCAGTCCCCCATCTGCCTTAAATCAGGCTGTTTTTGCTGCACACTGTCAGACAGTCTTTTCAGAACCTCTGAATATAAAGCTTGATTGACAGTCTGACCTGGTGGAATGAACTCCAAATGTACTATCCTCCCCCACATCAAAAAAAAATGAGCATCGTCTTGATCTTTGATTTCACTTCAGCTTTTTTTGAGTGAGGAAACGATGTCTTCCACTGGCTTGACTAGTGTTTTCTTTCGTGGTTGTATGCATAGCACCATGTCTCATCACCAGTAATGACCTTGGGGGAAAAGTCTGGGTTGCTTCTGAACTGTTCTTTCAAAGCACAGCATGTTTCCACTCAATGCTCTTTTTTCCTGGACAGTCATATAACCCAAGCCACAAACTTTGTAGCAGCCCTTCTTATTCCCAAATCTGTTAAAATTTGCTGTACCATGTTCCAGGATAGTCCAAATAACTTCTCCATCTCTTCAATGGACCGTTGTTGGTCTTTGAGCACAAGTGCATGAATTTGGTCAACATTTGAATCTATTCAGGAAGATGTCCAGAACAAGGTTTCTCATCAATTGACATTTCACCTTTTTTGAAACCAGAAAACCATTCTGAAATACTGAAAAGCCAAAGAGTTTTCTAGAAGGATATTTTCAGGTAGACAACATCTGTTGATTGTAAAATAATCACATGTAATATACTTTTTCTTAAAATTTAAGTGTCTAATGATAAGCAATAGGAAAAAAAAAGTGTTACCTGTCCTGTGTAGTCTTCTTTTAGTTCTCCTAAAATAAAAGACCACAATATTAATATCTTGAAGCCTAATATACATTATCCTAAAGTCCAGTAAAAAATTATTTGCTAGGAAAATTTTAATTTCCTCAGTAAAAAGAAATACTAAAACAATTGTAACCTAAAGAAATAAAATTTTATTTAAAAAAGTTTAAACTGAAAATTCTTGGTTATTATGAAGCAATAACTAGGCCTCACAATGATATGAAAGAACCATTCTCACACATCTGTTATGACTAATGTTTATACAGGAATCAGATGAGTAGGTTATGTCTGTTTTGCTTCTTCTGTTCCTAAAGTAATGCCTTAGGACTAATATGACAAGTAAAATTCATTTAAGTGTCCTGGCTAATTTGTGGTAGGAAACTGGGTTGAGAAGTTTTATATGGCCTGTTTTAGTCCCAATAGGAAAGAATGAATCTATTAAGCTGTAATTATTTGATATCTGCTCTCATTTCAGCAACGTATCTGCTGACTATATCTTAGTACTTGGAAAAGGATGCTTTGAAAAGCAGTACCTAGACAGGGAGCTGCTAGAAATTCAAGCCAGATTAAGAAGAGGACACGGAAAGAGGGATATTATTGCTGATGTCAGATAGATTTGAGCCCAAAGAAGTGAGCACCAGAAAGATATTTACTTGTTTATTTATTGACTAGGCAAAGACATTGACTGTGTGGATCATAACTAACTGGATAGCACTGAGAAGGGGGAATTTCAGAACACTTTATGGTGCTTACCTGGAACCTGTATATGGGTCAAGAGGCAGATGTTCAAAAAGATTAAGAGAGTACTGTGTGGTTAAAAATCAGGGAAGGTGTACATCAGGGTTGTATCTCTTCAAAGTACTTCATCAATCTGTATGCTGAACAGACAATCCAAGGAGCTGGACTTTGTACAAGAACATATGTCAGGATTTGAGGAAGGCTTGTATGCATTAATGTAGATGACTCAACCGGGCTTGCTGAAAGCAAGGAAGTCTTGAAGCACTTACTGATAAAGGTCAAGGACTACAGCCTTCTATATAGCTTGCAACCCCATGTAAATAAAACAAAAATCCCCACAACCTGACCAATAGGTAATATGACAATTCGAGAAAAGATTGAAGTTGTCAAGGATTTCACCTTGCTTGGCTCCATGGTGTTCATGCAGATAGCAGTTAAGAAATCAAACGATGTATTGTATTGTGCATATTTGCTACACAAGACTTCTTTAAAGTGTTGAAGAGCAAGGTTGTCACTGTGCGAACTAAGGTGTCTCTGACCTAAGACATGGCATTTTCATTTGTCTTACATATATGCCTGTGAAAGGTGGATATTGAGCAAGGCAGACCAATGAAAAATTAATACATTTGAATTATTGAGCTGACAAGATATTGAAAGAATCATGGACTGCTAGTAGAACAAAAAAAATGTCTTGGAAGAAGTATAGCAAGATTGGCCCTTGGAAGTGAGGATGGTGAGACTGACGTAGTAGCAGGAAGACCATGAAGGACGACATGACCATGCTTGGTAAAATAGAAGGGCAGCACAGAGAGATGACAGAGGACTCACACAACAGCAGTTGTAGGGTGGTGCAAGACTGGGTCATGTTTCCTTCTGGTGTGCATATGGTCAACTCGAAGCCACAACTGACTTCATGGCACCTACTACCAGCAACATATTCATTTCTCTTTTCTCCTTTGATGGAATTTATTTATATTTCAACATACAAACTGAGTGATATTCATTTCTGAAGCAGAGGATAGCTAACATTAGCATGGCCCCTACAACATTTAGCAGAATTCTTGTAACATTGGAAGTGCTCACTGTTGTTACTTTCCACATTCTTTTTGAGATTTGCTCCTAATAGCAGTAAGAGGGTATTTAACATTACAACACTTTGGGGCCTTTTCAAAAAGAATACAGGACTCCACCAAAAGCTTTCTGCATGTGAGATATTTTAGATTACATAAACCAAAAACATACTGTGGTACTTACATAATTTCATGTCAACTAGATAAATAAGGATAGGGGTAGAGTCTAACCTGTCAATCAGGTCACAGCCCAATGATACCTACTTGTGGATATGACCTTCTCATGAGGATTCTGGGAACTTCCTCTCTTTCTCCCTGGAGGCAGGCCACACATTCTGCTTCACTTTCCTGCTGTTGAGACACTCAGAAAGCTGGAGGAGACACCTGCAGACCCACACCAGAGATGCCTCCAACAGCATTGGGTGATTCACTAGACTTTTCACTCACCGGCCGTGATTGTCCTGTATTCAGCAGCATTGCATGTGCTGCGTGAGTCTGAAGAGGAATTTATGAACTAGTATTGGACCTATGGGCTAACATCAGACTTAAGGACTTAATCTGGGCTGGGATTTTTTTCAATATACAATTGCTCTTTTATATAAAGCTCTCTCTTACACACATACATGAGTGTCCCTGGATTTGTTTCTCTAATCAATCCAGACTAACACACAAACTCAATGCCATTGAGTTAATGTTGACTCATAATAACCCCCCTTGTGGGTTTCTGACACTGTAACTGTTTGTGGGAGTAGAAAGCCCAGTCTTTCTCCCTAGGAGCTGCTGGTGGTTTCAAACTGCCAACCCTGCAGATCGCAGCCCAATGTGTAACCACTGCCCTCACCAGCCTCCCGGGCTAGTCATAGTTATTGTGATAGGGATTTTCGTGCCAATGTAGCACCCTTAAGATGTGGGTGGAGTTTAGCCCGTCATTTGGTCACAGCTTGATGACCTCTTTTGGAGGTACTACTGAGATAAATGCCTCCGAGGCCTGCACCTTCCTCTTTCTCCCTAGTGGTGGACCAGTGTGCTGCCTGAGTTAGCTGCCCTGCTTCAACATGTGTGCTGTGCTGCTACCTGTGGGTCGAACCAACCATGGACCATGGTGGACTGAGTTGCTATGCCTTGCTCAACGCTGTGGCATCACCCCACCTTGCTGTGTCTGCTGCCTGTGGGTAGACGCCACTCATCTTTCCACCACTCCAAAGGCTGTACCTCCCACCAGCCATTTAATATTGCTACACTGTGAGGTTCCACCACAACCTGCTGCACTACTGACCACTGCTCAAGTCCATAGCTCGTTTTTCCACTGTCAGCCTTCTTGGTCTTCGGCTGGTGTGAGTCAGAAGGATTTTCAGCATATTCACTGTCCCAAGAAAGTGAGTTGCACTAAGCTCTCTATATTGCTGTGTGGATTAATTTGCTGTTGTATTCCTTTTCACTATATAAACTTAGTCTTATATATACACCGTGTATACTCGAGTACAAGCCGACCCCAAAATCAACTGAGGCACATACTTTTACCACAAAACTGCATAAAAAATGTGCTGAACCTGTGAGATCACAAGGTGTCGAAGGGATCAGGTATCAGACATCAATGACCCCCCAAAAATAAATAAATCATAGCATTGTGAATGAGAGGGAGTGCAGAGTGGGGACCCAGGGACCATCTGTGGGAAATTGGACATCCCCTTGCAGAGGGGCCGCGGGGAGGTGACGAGCCAGTCAGGGTGCAGTGTAGCAATGATGAAACATACAGTTTTCCTCTAGCTCTTGAATGCTTCCTCACCCCGACTATCATGATTCCAATTCTACCTTACAAATCCGGCTAGACCAGAGGATGTACACTGGTACAGATAGGAACTGGAAACACAGGGAATCTGGACAGATGAACCCTTCAGGACCAGTCGTGAGTGGCGATACCGTGATGGTGGAGGGAAGGTGAGAACAATTACAAAGATCTACATATAACCTCCCTGAGGGATGGACAGCAAAGTGGGTGAAGGGAGACGTCGGATGGTGTAGGATATGACAAAATAATAATTTATAAATTATCAAGGGTTCATGGAAGAGGGTGGAGCCAGGAGGGAGGGGGAAAAAAACGAGCTGATACCAAGGGCTCAAATAGAAAGCAAATGTTTTGAGAATGAGGAGGGAAACAAATGTACAAATGTGCTTGACACGATGGATGGATGGATTGTGATGAGTTGTACGAGCTGCCAATAAAATGTTTTTTTTTAAATGCTGAAAAACTCGGCTTATACATGAATATATACGGTACATAAAATCATAAGTGTTCTGGTTTTGTTTCTCTAAAGAACCCTGCTAACGCAGTTATGTGTATTGTGATAGAATTAAATGAAATCCATATGAGGTTTGCTTTTTCACAAAAGCCTTGTTGATTAGATCCTGGTCTCATTAGCTTTATGAAAGGATTGGAGAATCTATTTCAATATCTGACCAACCAAATTGGTAGTTGTAGCTGACCACCTTGCCCCTCCTCCCTTTAAAACACACATTTGTAATCATTCTCTAGCATCTTAAATCTGTCACATTGCATATCTGTCAAACTTTGTGTTTGTCTGAACACATCTAATGTTTCTGTTATTTCTTCCCTGTATTAATCTGTGCTTCCTGACTAATTCCAAAATTGTTTAATTACATAATTTATGTACAGACAGAATTATACCTTTTTCCTCCTTGGCTTATTTCCACTTTTCTTTGTTCACTTTAAGTTCTCAACCTGAAGTTCTGAACCTGCCTAACTTAGTCACATGTTAGCTTTTTACATTTCTATGTTTTAATTTAGTTTGAACAGTTTATCATCTTTATATAATTCTTCCTTATTTTTTCTGTTGTATCAGAAAGTACCAACTTTATGATGGTTTTGTATTCTGTGAATAGACTTGACTATGGTAGAACCATGTTTCCCAGAATTTTCTTGTGTGTTTCCATGTTAGAGTTGGCCAAAGATTTATGCAAGATTTGGATGGAGAAAGCCCAAATCAGCAGTCTTTGCTCCTTGAAGGTTTTTGTGGTAAGAGACAGACATTGGAATATCAGTGGCTTCCAGCTTCTCCTCTCTTTATGTTCCCCAGCCAGCTCTTGTCAAATACAGGCCCAAATGCAATGTCAACTACTCGCTATACACCATACCAAGCTCGCCTTTGTAGCCCATTTCTGGTGGTTGGTCCAGCCTGGCT